ACAAAATAGAAGAAATCTTTTAGGGTGATTTATATTCCTCTGTGTAAACATGACCATGATATTAAAATAACTCAAACTGCTTAATGATGTATACAACATAAAGAAAGTGAGAGTGGAAACCGTGGGTAAGCATTGCATTTCACAGATACTCTTCTATAGTTGGGCTACTTTTCTGAGTGTCTTAAGGTAAAGGCTCCCCCTGTACATTGCTTCAGCTGGTGCACAATCAAACCAGCCAGCACACAGTTAAAACCTCTATGCAAGTGACAACAGCAAAAGAGATCCTTTGGGACCCTTTTCACCATTGTTCTTGCTAGAAATAATAGGATTACAAAAGGAGAAGTTCTATCCAAGGTGTTAATTTGTAATAGTACTGTCAAATATTAAAATTTTTAAGTTAAATATGACTCCTATAAGAATACAGAATGAAATCGTGGCATCAAGGAAAGATCCCTGAGGTGCTGAGAGTAAGCACGGATTCACAGGCAATGCAGGGAAGATCCAGATGAAGAACTCACATTGCCCTCTTAGATGCAAAACTGCTTGGTGCTCTGGAAGGCAGTAAGACTGGGACCTTTGGGGTTATCTTGCCTACCAAACGATTCATTTGCATGCCCTCTGGACAAAACCACACAATTCATGGCTCAGCCAGCCTGGGTCTCAATCAACAGAATGCAATAGTCCCTGGGTGTGTCTGTCCGGCTGGGCTGCCTGTGAATCCCAGAGAGCATGCACTCATCTTTCTAAGTGTTGGATGTCTTTTAACATAAGACACAAATCTACATATTGGCAGCAGTGGCTTTCAAGTTTCCAAGTGGAGTTTGCTCTTAATATTAATCTGCTTTTCACCATCTCCTGTGTCTGTTTTCAATCAGGAGTGAAAATGAGCCACAAGCAATTCAAGCCTTGCAATAACGCTCCGTTATAAAAAGCAAAAATAAATGTAACTATTCACCTTGACGGCACTAAAACATTTTATGAGCAATTTATTTTCTTAATTGGGAAAAAATCTACATATCCACTTTGAGTTGATGCCAGTTCCAGAATAAAAATTGATTGACACTGTGTTCCAGATTTCTGCATGGACTTGGGAAGTCCCTGACTGTCTCGGACTCAGCTCCAGCCTCTGTGGAAACCAAGATGGTGTCCACCCCTGGGCTGTATGCGCACACACTGGCATCACTATCACAGGACACGGCTCTTTTCTCAGTTTATTGCCATCTGCATATTCCTGGGCCCTACCTTCTGGTTTTTCACTTACAGGTTTCTATCACTTGTCTTTGACCCTTGGTTTTGTGTTTTTTACTTTCCTATCATTTTAAAAAGCATGAGTTGTTTTTTTAATGATACTAAGGAAATATTACACAGAAAAAAGAAAAGAATAACTGTAACATCCTCCTTTACCATCACTGCGAGAAGAGTCTTTTTTTTTTTTTTTTTTTTTTTTTAGGTTCCCTAACCCTGGCTAAGAAATGTTGTAAAACTCTCTCCTATCTTTGTTCTACGGCCATTTCAAACTAGAATGCCATTTCCCTGATTAACTGGCACTTTTATTAGAAATATAGAAAACACTAAAATCTACCTATATAGACATTAAAATTGTACAAGGTGCACACAGCAGTTCAAAGTTCTGTTCACAGGTTCTCGAACCATATATCTCAACAACTGATCTAATGTTATTATTTTATGTGTATAGGTATTTTGTCTGTGTATATGCCTACGCACCACATGCATGAAGAGCCAAAGGAGGCCAGGCAGCGGCACTGGATCCCATGAAACTGGAGTTATAAATGGTTGTGAGCCACCATGTGGATTCTAGGAATTAAGCCAGGGTCCTCTGAAAGAGCATCGAATGTTCTTAACATCTAAGACATCATTCCAGCCCTAACAATTTTTCAAAACAATCATTTGTTAACTCAAACAACCCAAGTAAATCTAACATTATTGTTCCAGGCAGGTGTAACCCATTCCTTCTACTCAAGCTTCTAGCCAGAGACTATCATAAAGGCTTAGACCATGTGGTACAATTAGAGAAAGCCAGGAGAGGCTGCACTTTTGGTCCGGCTTATGTATGTATGTGCTGCTTGAAGCCTGTTATGGTTAGTCTGTAATTCAACTAAAGGTTTTTCTGCATTGACTTTGAAGGGAAAACTATGGGATAGATAACCCCAACCCCAAAGCCTGAAAATAGGTTTTTAAAAACTAGTGCAGAAACTCTGAATATAATTAAAACCTCCTAGCCAAAAGTTCAAATGGACTGGTTAAATATGTAAATTGTATAACAATAAAACTGTTTCATAATACTTCAGGAAAAAAAGGAAACATATGATTCTATAAGTTTATATGTAAAGTGATTGTTTACATTGTTATAGACACTTGTCATTGATTTATTTTTTTATTGGTGGAGTTAAGTAAGCTTGGCATGGTAGTGTACACCTTTAGTTCCAGCACTTGGAAGACAGATCTCTGAGTTTGAGTCCAATGAGGTCTACAAAAGAAGTTCCAGAACTACACACGCGCGCACACACACACACACACACACACACACACACACACAGTCTTGAAAAACAGAACAAAACACCAAAAAAAGAAAAAAGGAAAATAGGTGCAATAAAATAGAGTAGGACAAAAATAGAATGTACAAATTTCCAATTAAATGTAAACTTTTTCTTCATTGTTAATAGCTTTCACTCAGAAGCATTTTGGTTGACAAACTGAAGTCATTAAGAGAAAAATTTAACTATGTGAAACTTCAAGCTAAATTTTTAAGGAGTCTAGACTCAGCAGATAAAGACTTTGAGTTTTAGTGAAGTATAGTGAACAGGTTAGCCCTGAGTGACAGCAAGTCATCAGGTCGTGACTGAGGGCTGACTGGGGACTTTAGCTTGATCATTCACTGTAGTTTGCTGTTGTCCAATGGACTTCACTCACTCACTTCCAACCTTGGAAGAGAAAAACAGCTCCGTGTTTCTCAACCAGTGTTATAAATAATTTTCTAAAATTGAAAGTAATTTAAATCTACTTATTCCGTTTTGCTATCCTTTGTAAAACAACTTTTATAATGAACTGCAGGTTCTTTGTGTTTTGTTCTTTTGTTTTGTTTTGTTTTTGTTTCTGTTTTTGAGAAGTGGGGATGCCGGGTAGCAAGGTTTGGGCACTTTTCTAGCAGATGTAGGGAAACTGGAACAATGATGAGGATAAACAACACTTAAGTACTCAAAGGATCATTCAGCCAATGAGAAACGGGCCACAGCTGTGAGAAGCCTAGTTCTGGAGGAGATAAAACGTGGTAAACATGCTATTTAGTTCTGTTCAGTAAAAGACAAGGGAAACTCAGTGGAGGCGAGAGTTGATCCAAACGTCAGTGATTTTGTTTTTCTGAGAAATGAAGAAAACTTTGAGTAATAAAATCTAGCAGAGCAAATGAAAATGTTTTAACAAGTTTTCTTTTTCATACTACATCTGATTCCAGTCTTGAGTAAAAAAGAAAGAGCATGAGCCAAGAGAAAATAAAATTGTTTAAGTATTACTTGATTCTCTGGGTGGAATTGTGTTTAGCTATCCTAAGGTCAAGACAGATTGCTTTTTTCTTTCTTTCAAAAAGGCTTTTTTAAAAGGGAGCTTTCTGTTTACATGCAACCTCATAATGCCCTTCCCTACAGAGATAAATCATTTTGGGGAATATGAGTGATTCCAAGACTAGAGCAGCTTTTCATTTATAGTGATCAGACTTAATTTCCTATTCATACTCATTCACCTGCAGCACAAATTCTCCATGAATTTTGCCAGTTAGTATTTACGAATTACAAACAGGGCAATTACTTCCTCTGCTGCATGAGATCACTTCAAAAAAAAAAAAAAAAAAAAAAAAAAAACAAAGAAAAGAAAAGAAAAAGAAATAAATCCAGTTAAGGGTGTTGAGAATGACAGCATCTGAAGCCATGGAATTCTGCAGGGCTTCGGATGCCAGACAATCGAGCTTTGTCTCTCTCCAATGGGGGCAATTTCCACCCAGAACAGCTTTCCCACAGCAGCAATAATCCAGTTTGGGAAACCTCAATTTGAGGGTCTGTGTCTTGGAATGCCAAACCACAACAATAAAAACAAAACTGTAGATGGGACAGGACATGCTGGCTTTGGCTTGCTTCCTCTCAGTTAGTTCTTCCCGGTTCGTGAGAGCCGTTGTTTGTTGGCAAGACCCAAAACAGAATTTTTAAGCTTTGTGTTAATGTGTGCCTTTGTCACTTTGTCACCTCCTTGTCCATTTGACTCATTTCATAAAAACTTTGAGCAGTATTTGGCTGTACTAAGTATTTGAGCGATACTGCTGTTGTCAATCACTATAGTCACCATCCAGAGACAGAAATTCTATTCAACAATCAGACCTTCACCCATCTCTCTAATGATTTAATGTAGGATGAATTGTTCCCAACTGCTGGCCCATAAGGTAGGTGCTTACTTTTAAGCCCAGGGGTCCTGGGTCTCAGTCCATTACCACATGTAAAGTGAGTTCTCAAACTCACTGCTGTGAGGAGAAAATGAGCAGGGGATCACCCCAGGGGGAAAGACATGAGAACATGATGCAATTATCTGAAGACACAGGGGAAATGTGAACATGGCCTGGATATGGCGCATGTTATAGCATTATTTTTACTAGGTGTTACAATGGCGTGTGGCTGTGGAGAATTGTCCTTAGGAAGATGCAAGCGGAACTGTTTAGGCGTAAAGTACTGTGACATCAGTATCTCATTCTCAAGTGGGTTAGCAAAAAAATCTGTCTGGGTTTTGTCTTATTTTATTGTCTGAGAGTCCCGATAGCCTAGACTGGCCTCCAACTCACAGCAATCCTCCTGCCTCAGACTTTGACGTAGAAGGTTTTGGTTTTAAGTATACAGAAAAAGCAAATGTCATACATTCACTAGTGAACCTACATGAGGAGTTTATGTCTGGATTATATTTTACCAGCAACCTTTCCCTGAGTGTGAAAAATAGGAATAAAAATATGTGGCAAAAATAAAACCTTTATTTAAAAATAATATATGTTCATTTAAATATTTTGCTGTAATAATGTACATTAATAGTATTTATTTACTCTATTAAAAGATCTATCCAACAGTCTCTCTTGAAATGAATAACTTTGATTAAACATATTATTTTACTTTCACTTCTAAAATGCAGTCTCTCACATATAATCAAAATAGTTCCGTGCATATCTTAGAGTCAATTAGATGAGGCTCAAGGATCTTGAGTTAAAATTTCAGTAACTCGTATGCTTCAGTAGCCTTTCTCAGCATGTCTTCTTTGTTTTTCTTCTTTGTCTAAAATAGTCTGCTTTAAGCTCAACACAGCATCTTGAAATCCAGGATTTAGGTCTAATGCCTTCCTGAAATCTTCCAATGCTTCGTCAAAATACCCTATAGCAGAATCCCAGAGACAAAAAGAAAAAAGTTGAGTATTTCCACAACTGCACAGTGAAGTTTGGCTGTACATGTTTTCACATTTATGAGTTTTCAAATTGCCTGCAAAAGGAAGCATCTTCTGTCACTGATCAAGATGGTCCACCATAATAACGTGTGCCCTTGCGGAACAAGCCATCTGAAATTGGCGATGAGGACAAGGAACGGTGCCCAGCAACATTAGCACTTGTCTAACACACAGGAGACCCGGTTCAATCTCCAACAATATAAAACATAAAAACCAGAGAAAATCAGTGATGGTTTTTATCAGATTTAATAGGTGGCCAGCATATAAATCATCATAAAATTTCAACAAAACTACATCTCCCATTTTACATAGCTGCAGGAAAACTGAGAAATAGATTTTTTTCTTTTTTCTTTTCAATGGGAAACAGTGTCCAAAGCACCTTTAATCCAGGCTTTTAAAAACTTCCCTTTCAACTGTCCCTGCCTTTTCAACTAGAAAGTGCCACAGGCGCCCATCAGCATTGCCCTCATTTTGAGTTGGAAATGTGCAGGCACAGAGTAATGGGGTCACCCTCGCTCCTGTGTCCAGTTCGATTCCCACAGCAGTGTTCCGCTGTGGTCTAAAACGCCTAGGAAATGTCTTCCAAAAAACAAACAAACAAACAAACAAAAGCCACTAAGGAACACTTCTCTTGTTCCTTAGCTCTAATCCTAAATTTCAGCTAATTGTCAAACTCGATACCTTCACAACAGTTGATCACTCTGAAGCAATGGAATACAGTCCACGAGAAAAGCAAAAAATTAGAGGAAAAAAAAAAAAAAAAAAAACCTTACCCAGCCTGTATCGTATCAAGCCTCTGTTGTAATACGGAACTTCAAAGTTGGGCAGGGTTTCTATAGCCGATGTGTAGTCATCCATGGCTTCATAAAAATCAACACTGAAGTACTTGGTTTGCCCCCTGTTGTTATATGCAGTGGCCAAATCCTCGGGGCTGCATTTGCTTTAAACAAAAAGTTCACAATAAAAGCACATCGTTAAATTCTCCTTCCTCACTTCCACACTCTTTGGGGCTCTGTCTAACTCCATAGCCTACAACACACTATGTGGAAGCTTAAATGCCAAGCTGAAGAAAGAAAATGCACTTGAAAAACGGCAATCTCTGTTTAGGCCATCAGCAACTTCCACTGGGCTATGGCACAATGTGGATTTGAAGTCCGTGGGTGTTAGAGTCTTCAAAGCCCCTGTTCTTTGCCAACATGTTTTGCTCAATACTAAAATGATTTGCTGAACATTTTCAGAGCCCACACTAGAGGGAATAAACGCATGCTGATCAAGGGAAGCCCGCCCAGGTACCAGGGCGCTACAAAAGTGTCACAATCACTTTTAATTTACCCTAAAATGTAGGTGGTCTTCAAACAATGACATCTGAAATCACTTTCTGCCAATAAAGAAACACTGGTTAAGCAGTGGTTAACCATCGGTGGAATATTCCACAGATCTGCCCTTCCTGTGAGACTCCTGACACCCAGCAGCTGGAGCAGCCACCAGTTCAATGCCTCCCACTCTCACCACCACTGACAAGTTATCTTCACTGCTCCAAGCCAGGGATATTTCTGTCTTCCTTCCTTCCTTCCTTTTTTCCTTCCTTCCTTCCTCCCTTTCTCCTTTTCCCCAAAGTCATTGTCAAATTTCAACCAGACATGTTCAACCCAACTTCTGTTATACCCAGTGGTACAAAGCAGTCCTCAGTCAGCTGACTGAGAAAGATGGACCCAAGGACGCCTCTGAAGACCACTAACACCACAGTTAAAGGCTAAAGAACACAAGGCTGTGTGTCCTCTATCTGGTAGGACCCCAGACTACAGAAAGAAAATGCTCCCTCTGTACTTCAGTAAAATTTCATGATTCATTTGAGGTTTCAACACTTTGTCATAAATTCTCATCCTCCGATAATCAGAATGTTAGATTTCCTTACAGCAAATTCTGAAATCCTACCTTTCATGAAAGCAGACATTCTGTTTGCAATCTTAAAGACATGTGGGCAGGGCCTCAAGAGATGGCTCAACAGTTAAGAGCACTTGTTGCTCCTCCAGAGGACCCAGGTTCAATTCCCAGCACCCACATGGTGGTTCACAACTTTAACTCTAACTCCAGTGCAGTGCAGAGAATCTCATGACCTCTCCTGGCCTCTGTGGGTATTGCACATACCTGGTACACAGACACACATGTAAACAAAACACCCACACAGACTTACAAGAAATCTTTTTTTTAAAAGAGATAGGCTAATACTGAGCATGACTTTCATTGTAATGATACTGATTTTTGTAAAGAAGGTATTTCTTTGGGGAATTTGCATTTATTGCATGTGTGTATTGTGGGAGAACACATGCCACAGTGTGTCTGTAGGGGCACACTGCAGCTTCACAGGCATTCCAGGGTTTGAACTCAAGTCATTAGGCTTGTATAGGTAAAGACCCACTGAGACCAATGTTAGTATTTTTTGTATTGCATTTAAACCAAACTACCAAATCTAAATATGGAATTTTAGCATTTGCTAACGTTGGACAAAATACATACTTAAAAAATTAAATTATGACTAAAGCTGACCTTGGATATTAACAAAAAGAGACAAATCAGAATGAAAAGCAATCAAAGACTGCAAACACTATTTCAAAATTATTCAGCCACCCAATGTTTTAAAAAGATTAGTTTAAATTTCCAAAGACATAGTAAAGGGTACAAGTTGAACTGATAAACATCAAGTTCTCTAAACTCAAAGGAAACTGAAGGCTCATTTTACAGATGAGAGAGTGGCCAGAGAAAAGGCACCAGCAATACAGTAATGCTGACACTAGAATGTGGGTACACTGAGCTGCTACAACTACACCAGGTGGGTTTTCAGCCTGTGCAAAACAGAATCAACTCACTGTGGTGGACACAAGTTCTTGGGCTGAGGTGTGCAAAGAGGGAATAACAATCCAAAGTAGTGTCCACATACCTGTTTCTGAAACTGCCTGAGTAAGCCTGTCCCAGCCTCATACAAGAATAGAAACAAGGTCTGCTATGCCTGCCAGCCTTTCTTTTTCTTATAGGGAGTGGTGGTGGTGATGAGACAGGACCTCAGCAGACACTTCTATTAACAAAGTGTCAATGGGATACTCCCCTACATCAACACCCCTCCCCCTTCCCTTCCCCCAAAGCTCAGGGGATGGGGAAGAAAAGGCAGAAAAAGTGGACCAGCCTGGGGTTGAGAGAGGAACAGTGAAACAGTGATTTCTGAGCATCGCAGGGCCACTGTACTCAGGACCCACTCAGACGAGCTGTGGTTGTCTGCCCGCGATCAAGCCAGTTAACCCTCCAGCACTGAAGAAGTGGGGCTCATAGTCCCTACCCCAGAGGAGCTACAGACAGTTAAGGAAATCTGAGGGAGGGAGGGGAGGAGGGAGAGAAGGAAAAGGGAGGGAGGGAGGGGAAGGGAGAGGAAGAAGGAGGGAAGGAGGGGAAAAGGGAGGGGAGGAGGGAGAGGAAAGGGGGGAGGGAAAGGGGGAGGGACGGAGGAAGGATCAATTAGTTTTAAGGATATGGCCCCTAGTAGGTTGACCAGACTCCTTGATAGCCCATGAGTATATAGGCAGCACAAAATAGGACTTGGTGATTACAAAAAAAGGGAGGGGGATGATGAAGTGTGGGTAGAGCTGAGTGGAGTTAAGATGAGTAGTGTGGAAGTGAAGATTATCAAAATACGTTGTATGAAATTCTCAAAGGATTAATAAAAATACTATATATTTAATAAAGAAACTTCATGTTACTATAGTGCTAAAATTAAAAAGCAATTTTAGCTTTCTGGCTTAATTCCACATGAATCTTAGAAACAAATAAGTATGTAGCCTTTAGTATTAGATCTCATACAAAAAAATATGCTTGCATTCTATTTTTAAAAAATCTTCCAGGACAAGCCAAGCATAGTGGCACACGCCTTTAATCCCAGCACTTTGGGAGACAGAGACAGATGGATCTCTGAATTCAAGACAAGCCTAGTGTGCAGAGGGTTCCAGAACAACCAGAACTACCTACACCTGTCTCAAAACCAAAAAAAAAGAATCTTTCAAGAGAAAGAAGGAAGATGCTGCAGGTCACATAATCGTCAAGAAAATTACCCAGCCAATTTATCTGTGTTCACTCCACACCACCCACAAGAACAGCAAAGGCTAAGCTTAATAACTAACGCTATTTATCCAGGCATCAACAGAGAAGTTATGGAACCTGCTAACATCACAGAGTGAAACCAGACTTCAAGTGCTCACAGTGAGAGTGTGAACCTGTAGAAAGAAAAGCTCTCCTATCTGAGTCGGATCAAGTCTCCAGATTTAACCACCAATTCACAACCAATACAGAGACTGGGAGTTGAGACTTCTCTGACAGGTACATGGATCAGGGCCAGGACAAGCTGGCTGGCTTCTTTCTTATGCTTCTGCAAACCTGGCAGCCTAAAAAAGGAGGCCTGATGGGGCTTTTTTCCCACTAGTAGGGCCCCTGCTGATGGATCTCTTCTTCTACACCAGTTCAAAGCTGGGTCAGGACGTGTTAGGCCAAAGCCTATCAGCCACGTATGTTCAAAGTGACCAACCCTCGGTCCCTTAAAGCCCTCATTAGACTGGATCTGGGGATTCCTGAAGTCCCCCTCCACTCTGCCGGCTGTTTCCTCACCCCTAGAAAACCCTTCGGTTGCTAGCTGTCATTTCCTTCATTAGCTATTCTTGAGGTTTTCACTGCTGCTACCTGCCCTGGCTCAACACTTTTACTGCCTTTAAATTCTTTAACTGGCAGAGAACAGGAACCAAATTAAGACCCCCTAGATGTCAAATTGTTAGTAAACAGACTAGCTAGCACAGACACCTGGCTCGATTCAGCAGCTACAAAATATGTTAACTTGAAATACAACCCCGTTTTCTCAAGACTTAGATCAGGGTGGGCTTAAGGAGAGACGGGGGTCAGATGTGCACCTTTGGTAAACTGCTCAAACCCAAGCACCTAAATAACTAGCTTTACTGGCCAATAAGACTGCCACGGACGGCTGGATATTCGACAGAAGGAATCTTGGGAAGCCACAGGATGTCTCACTAGGAATCCGTGGCTGTCCCAAGGAGGGCGGCCGGCGCAGGCGGGCCCCGTCCCAGGCGCAGCGACGTGGCTTCCGGCCGCCGGGGACACGGGCGAGCCTGCTCCCGCCCGGGGCTCCGAGGGCCGCGTCCGGACGCGGACCACCCGGTCTCGCGATACTCACCGCCCGCGACTCGCGCACTGGCCAATGAAGGCCGAGTACAGCGCCTGCGCCTCGGCAAACTCGCCCCTGGCGAAGCGAGCCTGAGCCAGCGCCAGGGCGGCCGGCCTCTCACTGCTCTCTTGGCCCGGCGGCCCGGACATGACCGTCTCGCTTGGCTGGAAGCGGAACCACAGCCGCTCGGAGCGCACGGGACTTACTTCATTAGCTAACGGAAGCGCGCCGCTAGGGAATGAGGACGTTTGTCCTGCTTGAGGACCCGTAATATCGCGATAGCGAAGCTGGTGAGGAAATCCTGAGAATGAAAATTTGATGTGTGTATACAAATACATAGATGCTTCGATGGATGGGTGAATGGATACAGATAGAAGATATTATAGATGATAGATAGATAGATAGATAGATAGATAGATAGATAGATAGATAGATAGATAGATAGATAGATAGATAGATAGATAGATAGATGATAGATAGATGATAGATAGATAGATAGATAGATAGATAGATAGATAGACAGACAGACAGACAGACAGACAGACAGACAGACAGACAGACAGATAGATTTGAGGAGCCTGATTCGGGGAAGGGAAGGAGATTGGCCCCGAAGTCAGTTTTTTTTTTTTTGTTGTTGTTGTTGTTGGAGAGAGGATCGTTTGTTTTTTAGAAGAACTTATGGTGCTTATGTGCTGATTCTGGGTGAATTTAAAGCTAAATATTTAAAACATTAAGTTCCAAAAATAAAAGAATGTAATTATCTAAGCAGAGCAGTTTCCAATGCATAAAAAGGCAGTGCTGTAGTGTACCTGTACCTCTCTCCCCTAGCTCATGAGTAGAACCCTTAATTAACAATGTGCCACGTGGGACCTACTACAGGTTGGCTCCACCCTAGTGAATGGACTAATGCCACTCCATTTAGAAGGCAGACTGCTGCACACCTGTTCTTTCTATGTCTTTTGCCATATTATGATAAGGCAAGAAAACCTATACATTCGTGGGCTTCCTAGCCCCCAAAACCAAATCGAATGAATTTATCAGTGACTCAGACTAGCATTGTTATAGTGATAGAGAATAAATATCATGAGGCATTTGATAGAATTAGCTACAAAAACAAAGGTCAGAGAAGAAAGACATCAACTTGGAAAGTAGTTGTCATCTTTAATGTAGAACTTCCTGCTGAAACAGTATATGTTAAATCTATAGTGTGGCACACAGATTTTAAAACTGGGATGGTTACAGTGAACAAAGCTTTTGTCCTCAGTACTTTACAAGAAAATAGTCATTAGTTTTGTTTGTTTGGAGGGGGCTTTTTTGTTTGTTTGCTTATTTGTTTGTTTTTCAAGACAGAGTTTCTTTGTATAGCCCTGGCTGACTTCAAACTCAGAAATCTGCCTGCCTCTGCCTCCCTAGTGCTGGAATTAAAAGCATGTGCCACCACCACCCGGCAACACAGTCTTTTTAAGTTAGATGATGGTTGTTAGTATCATGTAGGTGAGAGCATTAGTTTTTTGTTTGTTTTATTTTTTGTTTGTCTGTTTGTTTCTGTAAAGGATGGATGGGAAAGTAACTAGAAACCAATACTGACTCATGAAGAACTAGAAAATGCCAACAGACCTCTAGCTGGCAGAGGCTGGCATTTAGATCTGATGGCTACCCCAGTGATTGAAAGTATTTAAGGAAGAGTCAACACCAGCCCTTAAACTCTCAAAACAACAGGAAAGAACAAAGCTTGCATTACTCAGTAAAACAAATATTGCCAATATCAACACTTGGCAGACACAAGAGCACTGGTTCTCAACCTTCCTAATGCTGCAACCCTTTAGTACAGTTCCTCATATGATGACCCCCAACCATAAAATTATTTTTGGTGCTATGTCATAACTGTAATTTTGCTGCTGTTATGAATTGTCATGGAAATATCTGATATGCAAGATAGTCTTAAGGTGACCCCTGTGATACGGTTGTTGTACAGAAAGGGGTTCTGACACACATGTTGAGAACGACACTAGAAGAAAACTACAGACCAATCAATATCTGTTGTGACTGACATTAATGCAAAGCGTGGCATTTTGGTTGTGAGCCTAGCCTTTAATGGCTTACCATCTTTCCAACTTACATTAATAGAAAACGTTAAAAAAAAAAAAAAGACTACTGTATCAAATGTAGCAACATATTGAAGAATTATATACTGTAACTAAATGGGAATTACTCCTAAAATACAAGGATAACTCAATACATGAGAATTAATCAGTGTAACATACCACATTAGCAGAATAAAAGGGGGAAACACTTCTCAATTCACATAGAAAAGCATTTGAAAAATTAAGACCCTTTATATTAGTCACTATAGTCACTATTATCAGTAAGACCATACAGACTCTCTTGTTCTTACCTGTTGCGTGGCACATCTCACCTTTTTAACTTCTGCTCTTTTCTCTTTTTCTTTTCTTTCTTTCTTTCTTTCTTTTTTTTTTAACATGTCTATACTAGTCTGTGTGCATGCAAATGTCTGTGTGTCTTTTTTTCACATCTGTGCACATATTCATGGGGATGAGACTAGAGGCTGATGAGTATCTTCCTCAGCTGTTCCACATTTTATTGAAACAGGGTCTTGTGCCTACTAGTAATTCTGCAATCTAGCTAACCCCACTGCTTGCTAGCAATTCTGCTAGTCCAACTAACCAGCTTGCCAAGGAGATCCCATCTGAACCTCCCAGCTGCTGGGCTTATAGGCAGGCTACTAATGCCTGTTTTTATGTGGGTGCTGAGTGAAGACACCAGACCCTCACCCAGCTCTTTGCTTTAGCAGCCATAACAGGCTGCAGAAAAGACCCAACAAGAGGTAGGTCTCTGACTCAGCAAAATGTGCTGAGCTTCCTGACCTTGCCCATCTACCCAGTCGCTAAGAGGTGGGATACCCTCCACATGGCAAGGAACCAATCATGGTAAACCTGGTAATAGAGTGACATATAGAGCATAGCAACCTCCCTGGGAGGTCCTATAGGCCATAGGAATCAATTAACCAATCAAAACAGGGCAGGTTACCCAAGTCCAGAAGTGCACCAATCCTGAGACTGCTGCATACCTCTAGACACTCCCCTTGCACACCTAATAAATTCCTGGCCTTTCAGTTCCCTGGGGCCTTTTCGATCCCGCCTACCATGTCAGAGGGACAGAAATTAACTCATTAAATAATAAAAGACTCTTTGCTTTTGCATCCGAATGAGTCTCTTGGTGAATTTGAACACAACTTTGAGAATCTGAATTCTATCTGCCCAGGCCCAGATTTCTCTAAATTTTACCAACCACAAATTTAATGTGTACCATATAAGAAAGTGCTTAAATAAGCTTAGTCTTTTGATGTATTTTTAATTTTAGAGAAATAGCCTAAGAGCAAACAGTTCTTGCCATGAAACACCTGTTTGTAATATACACATTTCTTCAGTTTCACCTCTTTTCTGAAATTCAACGAAAATATAAGTGAACAGTTTTTTTCCTAAGATTAAGGCTATTTTTACTTTCTCATCTCCATTCTTACATATTTGTGAAAATTCATATTATGAACATGTTAAATTTATACTTAAAATACTTTCTTAAAAACACTGATAAGTAATTACAGAAATAGACAGTAGAGGGCAACATAATATTGCTGTTTTCATTATGGATACCCAGAATGAGAGTTTGGAGCTCTGTCAAAGTTAATACTGTTACTTTGTAACAATTTTTTCTTGTTTCTAAATGTGACCTTTGTGCAGTTTCAACCAGACCAATATCCACAATTTTCTGCCAACTGCAGTCACTGGACATTTTCCTAAAAGGACTTTAGGTTTTTCTCCCATGTGATAACAAATGGTGTGTGTGTGTATGTGTGTGTGTGTGTGTGGGTGGGTGTGGGTGTGTGTCCCACCAAAATATCTAAACAAAGACAGTGCAAGTACCACATTTATACACTATAGAGAAGGGAAACATGGGTTAAATGTCATTTTTTTCCTTCAGAATTTATTGTTTTCATGTTTATTGCAACTAAAATCTTATATAAAAAAAAAAAAACTAAGATCAGAACTCTAAAAATACAGAAAGGTGATTTTAAAGTATAGTTTAGCAAAATATAATGGACTTTGTATGGTGAATGACAGCAAGTCAGCAAAGCTTGCTCAGACTCACTGTGTACCTGCATGGCCTTACCTGTTGGTTCCACATTTCAGCACCTAGGCCTCCAGCATAGCATGACTAGGGCTAAGTTTAATGATAAGGAACAACAGCATTACACAAAGTCAGTTAATCGTGTTTATTACAAGGAAAAGAGGTGCCAGATGCTTCCTCTTGAATGAGGATAAAATGGTTTTTTTTTTTAAACTTCAAATAATAAAGTCTTAAAATGCCATCTCCTCATTTATAAAAAATAAAGTATAGAAGAGTTTAATCCTCAAATAGAAAAAAAGCTCATTTCATACAACAGTTAACCTAATTTCCTTGAAATGCAGGCTGTATCAACTTCCTGCTTCAGATTTGCCCCTCCCTTCACCCCTCCGACGCCCCTCCCTTCACCCCTCCGACCCCACTCCACCATTCCCACCTGCCCCTTCTGGGGTTCGCTGATTAACTAGTAACCTTGACAATATAAGAAAAATATTCCTGGTGGAGAGTATTTCTGTGGTAACTCGTCACAAACTATAAGCTATATAAAATGATAAATGGACAGAAATACAGAAAAAGTTCACATCTGTAAGTCTTAGGTGAAAATTAATCAAATTACCTCATACAGTGATGTATGAAAATTGTCTTTTTTTTCTTTTCTTCCAGTACTGACAATGGACCCGGGTCTTATGCATGCTTGAAAGCCCTCTACCACTGAGCTACGTTCCAGCCCTCATTATATTTTTTTAAATAGATTTTATACAAAAATAAAACTACAGGATGAAGAAGTTGATTTTCATGATGAACCTAAGGAAATCAAGCATTATTTCATAGATAGGTGCAGATAAGTATAAATGCTTCATGTATTTTACAATTGCCATAGTTCTTTCCTTTATTCTACTGAACTGTGGCATAAAGGACAGAAGTTATAGTTACTGATTTCCTGAGCAAGAACGTAGTGCTTGCACACTTTGCACACCCAGAACTGATACTCAATGATTGGGCTTCCAGTAGCAATGCACGTTGGCAGTTTTCCTT